GTGGTAGTAATAAAGAAACAGTTAATAACAATGACCAAACATGAGACGATTACCGCTTCGCGTACCTTTCGACGTGTGTGATCAACTATACAGGAAATACACCTGGGTACATAGAAAATGATGCGAATAACAAACTGTTATCGTCTGGCATCTGCAAGCTTGTTCCATCCTGCAAGTTCCCACCGCGGGAGCAGTGTGATTTACGCTTAAATGTCCCTCTTAAGCTGCGCTGTAATACTGCAATGCAGGTGTTCGTCCGGTAGAGTCAGCTGCAAGCTGCAGGTGCTAGCGGGCAGGCGGGCTACCATTTGCATGCATAACTATGGGCTACGCGTATGTGCTTTTCTTATTAGTCGCCGTTAAGGTGTGTAGTTGACATGTTTCGAAACAAAGGGGTTCATTGGATAGTTTTTTGGGTCATCGTCCCGGGAGCTCTCCAGTCCCAGTTGTCTTTTCCTGGTCCTCCTGGCAGATCAAATCTGGGAAAGCTGTTATAGATATCAGGTGATATAATGACAAGGAATACGCACCTCACCGGTGAGGAGGCTTAAACTTTTCTATTGATGTATCGGTGGATCGTGGTTTAGTACCTAAGTACCTAGCTGAAATGGGGTTGGCACCTATGTACTTGAAATTGCACTGCGGCGAAGATAATCACTGCTGTTTACAATGCCTACCTCCTAGGTCCCTAAGTAGGTAATATATCGCTATCAATCCTTGAAGCTTTCCAGACGTTCAAGTAATTGCTTACACTAGCTGCTTCTTTTGAGATTAAGCCGTATAATTAATCGGCTGGCCTGTTGGGCAGAGCATACGGTATCTCCGAGGCACCGACATCTAATAATGATCTCGAGAAATTCAATAATATGTCAGCTCTTAGCCCCAGAAAATTAATAATGTTGGTTGTATGTATTGTACACATGTAACTGAAAGGGTAGTGGTATTTTTTTTTTTTTTCGCTATCATTTAGCGAATGTGATAGGTTTTCTCTAGTGTAATTCTTTAGAGGCCGCACTTGTATCGATTATCAAGCTAATCGTGGCCTTAGTAAGGCTATCAAGTAAATAAGGAAAGGCTGCTAGTCTAAATGAGCCAGGAATCTGAAACAATGGGGCTTATTGTTACTTCAGAATCGTCAAGCGACTTGCGATTTGAGGTTGAGTTTCGACAACTTCCCCTGAAACTGTCTGGATCGAGGTCACTTCGCGTGATACCACGATTTCGGAACGGAGTCCCGGTCCTTTCTGGGGACTACCTGTACCTAATGCTACAGTACATTGATACACAAACATTAAGAAGTTGTTAGCAGGTCTGTTATGTAGAAAAATATGGAGGAATTGTTGTTTATCAATTGAGATTAAGTTGATCTATCACCATCACCGTCACTATCGGTCTCATTTTCAAACAAGACCTTCACGTTAACAGCGTGCAATAAGTATATAATGCATTTAATAAATACACCATTATTACCGATTTTCTTGTAGTACGATTCATCGTAGTTTGTTTATAATCGATTTGAGAAAAGAAAAAAAGCTTCGAGTTACTCTTAAAGATTTATAAAAAGTACCAGAAGGTTGAATTCTTTTTTGAAATATTTGCCTGTTTGAATTTATATCTACCGTTGTTGGCACCATTTTTTTTTTTTTTACAGCATGATCCGGTTTAAGGTTTTAAGTCCAATTAAGCTCTTTTGTTGGCATTTAAAAGATTTGGTACGCCAAGTATAACCCTTAATGTTTAAACTACCTACGTATAGTAAAAATTTTAAGACTTGTTTATTAATAAACATACATATTAACTTTTTACAATAGCGTAGTAAAACATTTCCCGGTAAAACCGGTTGACTCATTGCCATATGTTAAGGTTGGCGCTACTAGAATCTCTACTACTATTAAGCCAAAAGAGTCTTCTGTTTTTATGACCTAAGTACCCAACCTAAGTAATTAGATGTGATGAAACGTTTAGAGGTTTACACACTACTGTCCCATATATGTAATACCACGCCATTTAGATCATACCGAACCATAGAAGTACCTAGACCATGTCGTGCTGGTTCTTGCCCAGGATACTTACCCCTCTTCTCCCCCGCGGCCACCCAACTCTCGCATCTTTATTCATACACTATACACTTAAGAATATTCAATTCCAAGGTATCTCTTAGTTATATCGCAAATCAATTTAGACCTTAATACGCGTAATGTTAATACATAGGTACCTACTAGGAGTGTTTATGGTTATCCGTATAAATGGATACTAGAAAGGCATGCATGCAATAAATACCTTAGATACCTACCTAGGTTAGATACTTAGGTTCGGTACATACCGTACGAAGTGCTCAAGTACCTCTTATCAATTCTAATGCCCACCTGGCCTTAATATTTGGAAAATGACCAACTTCTCGGGTACATATTTAAACGCGGACAAAATGTAAATATAATTCATAACTTTATGTTTACCGAAAGTCTTTACCTAAGGTAGTTTTATATTCTGTTAACACGTTGCACGTCTAAATGAAACCACGAGGGATTTGCTATTGTTCTATATGCATACAATGAATCTCAGTACCTCATCCATGTCGTTTAATTGTCAGCGACGCTGCTAATGCATTATTATTTTAAACCCCGGAACCTGGCTATGCCCTTTCTCTTCTACGTATAATCCATGACCCCTGATCCCTGAAGGTAAACCTAGTCTATTCTCTTTTGGCGTATCCCTCCCCCTATGTAGGTAGTCAGGTAATGAGGTAGTAGCTACCATCTGCATGCGCATTTAGGGAGCCAGCGGTATCTTGGCCGGTAGCCGGGGACTTGTTGATGACAAGCCTATCGTAACTATCTACATGTAGGTTAGGTGCTAGGTCTCTTAACGATAAGTGCAGGGGAAGTTGACAGGTCGTGAGTACCTAAACTATTTGTGCTGAGAATTGTTAAGGTGAAAACGAGGAAAAAAAAAGAAGCTTATCCTCGCCGCTGGTATTGTTCTCTCTAATATCAATGTCACCACATACTTCCTCCCACCACCATCTATTATAGATTCTCCAATAGGCACGGCCTTCTATTAGGTCTACCAGGCATTAAGTCACATCTCAATACTATTTTAAGCGACGCTCTGATACATAACTTCTTATTCTGTATTTGACGTCGCAACTTGTCGGCCTGTTCGGTAGAGACACCCGAGACAGCTCATTGACGTGACCTAACGTTTATATTATAGCAGGCTGATTTTATGGTCATCCGTCTGAAAGACTCGCCTAGCCAGTCCTCAGAATCCCACGCCAGTAGATTCCGCACATACGCACAGCACACACTTGTACATACCGATTGCCCACGGACTTTGATCAACAAGGACTTATCCTGACAACGCAGCTCGCAAGTAACGGACGAAACTACTGAAGGTGTCACTGCAACAACCCTCACATCTTACTTCCCGTCATTATATACCGCCGCTAGTCTTTTTTGAGTATTCCTAACTCCAGACCTTTCGGGCTTGAAGGGATCGCCGGCCTGTTCTTCCCCTTGCGATCTTGTCAATTTGTATGACATATACCCGTCGCTCCAATTTGGGATGTGCTCGAGCCTTCTCCTTTCCCTTTTGCGATCACTACCTAGGACTGCATAACTAGGAAAGGAAGGCATCCCATCGTCATATAGCTTTCCTATTACTTCAGGGAGTAGTAATCAAACTTCGATAATACCTTAATCCACGAGTAACGGGATTCTCCAGTCTACCTATACGATAGACTTCACTTAAACCGTCGGCTACAACCCAGTTAGCATAACCAGCCGCCCTGGAGGGTTTGGCCCTAGGTGCATGGGCTATATTGCAACCTTTCCCCAAGCTTTTGTAGATTAGCTCTACCTACCCTCACGTCAGTTTTGATTACTATCATCTCTTGACAATAAGGTTGGAACTGGTTTCCGCTAGAACCGTAGCAGCCTCGACTCCCGACGAAGATTTTGAGGCCGTCCTCAACAACAGGCAGTCTAGTTCCCAACTCTTCGTGTTACGAGGTGGTCCGCGTTTCTAAAAGAGAAGAGTAAGACGACTTCGCGGCCTTTTTTCGTCGGCAACGAAACAGTGGCAGTAAAGCCCCTGAAGGCTTAGGTTTGGCCTCAACTGCCTGGGTCTTGAGGCAGCCTATCGACTAACGCTGAATATGATTTTGACGAACTGAACCTTGACTTAGTCTACCGAGTGAATACTTCTCTGGTTAGCAAATTCAACCCTTAGCCGGTTATGTTGAGGACGTGTCCTGCTTGATCACGCGGACTAACAGATGGTCTAGTTCACTCGTCACTAAATTCTCTCCTCGTTTTGAAGTCTGAAGCCTGAATCCCGAGGCTTAGATGTTTGTGCATAAGGGCTCTTAGTTTACTCGTAAGTTAGCGATCTCCATTCTCCATTTCCTAAACAACGGCCTAGTTTTTCTCGTACTTAGGCATTCGGTGGCATTCTGTTAGATGATGTCTGGCCTCATCCTTAGCTGTTCTCGGCCCTTTTGCTAACCTTTATTGTATGTTTCCTAAGTTTTACACTTAGTTTTTTTTTTTTATTCGGCCGCGTTATTTCCCATATACTCGAACTCTAGTCGACTTCAGATTATCGCTCCTTTGTGGCGTTGAATACTCTCGTTATCGTGTATTAAATCTCGTATATTTATTCTGCCCCCCCCCCCTCTGCATCTGCATGGGTTTCTCATATCGGCTTGCACCGAATATCTGGAACCAAAACGTCCCCACGCATAGATTTCAATCTCGGCGTCGCATTGAAGATTCCGCTTACATACTGTTCCGAGCAAGGGTATCATCCACACTTGGGGCTGCCTCTGAAAGACCCACGCTATCCCTGTATCTTCGCCTTAAGGGACTCCTGGGTCTGGTTCCACATCACTCATATACCTTGTGCTTCTTGGTTCGCACTGTAAGACATATAAGTAGTCTCGTTCGCACACTTACACTACTACTGGTCGCCGGGTCCTAGATCTTGGGGTCACCAGAGAGATGGAGTTGATGGAACTTGTCGACAACGAGCCGACGGCTCGACCCTTTCAGTGCGACTGGGATACGTGCACTAAGGTACGTACAGCCATTTCCTGGTCATGCCTTGTTATCGTCGCCGTCGCCGTCGCCATAGTTGTGATCCAAGTTACTTATACGAACGCAGTGTTTCAACCGCAAGTCCGACCTCCAAAGGCATTACCGGATACATACGAATGAGAGACCGTACTCCTGTACAACAGAAGGGTGTGGTAAAAGCTTCATACAGCGTAGCGCCTTGACGGTCCACATCCGCACTCACACCGGTGAGAAACCTCATCAATGTCAACATGCTGGATGTGGCAAGCGTTTCTCGGATGTAAGAACTTGATCGAATTTCATGGTATTAAGCAGACTTGCTAACCCGTTTAGTCTTCGAGTCTGGCTCGACATCGACGCATACACACCGGCAAACGGCCTTATAAATGTGCTCACGAGGGTTGCCTCAAAAGGTAGCGCGAGATTTATTGTCCTCAGAGGTAACTACTAACGCGCCTTATAGTTTCTGCCGGAAAACAACGATGGTCAAACATCAGAGGCGTTCTCACCAGAGGGGTGTCCATTCAGAGATGGAAGATTTCTCTTCTGAGTCGGACAGCGGCGAGTCTCCGTCTACTCCTAAGCAACCCGGCATGTGGCCAACAGGCCATTTGACAAACGGGCTTTCTGATATGCAAGGCCACGCCGTCCAGCGAGCATCATCATTCGGCGACTTTGGTCAAGTAAGCCAGTACGATATATCGCAGCAGTATGGCCACCGGCACAGCATCTCTGGTGGGGGCGCCCACGAATACCATGGCGACATTGTCCGATCGTATCAACCCTCCATACTTCAAGGGCTTCCGCGAACGGCCAGCGTGCCTCATCCTTACTTTGTGACAGACCAGAACAACCCTAGCATCGCGACAATGAATACGAATCCGATACAACAGTACCAGATACCGAGGCAGCAACCTGAGCGGCTCCCAATAGAAATTCCGTACAATACGGCGGGGAATATGATTAACTCAATCCAGAATAGCCCTGCCAGCTTCACGACTGGAATTTCAGGCCACAGCCCGTCAGGCCATGATAACTACTACACGCACCAGTCTCCGCATGCGACAACGTATTCGCTGAACACAACGCCTGTCATGGAGCAACCCATGACGCAGTTCCCTCAGCAAGTCGCCCAGCCAGTGCACCAGCCAGTTCATCAGCAGGTCCATCAGCAGGTCCATCAGCAGGTCCATCAGCAGGTCCATCAGCAGGTCCATCAACCGATCCATTCTTCCCAGCCGGTGCAGCCTCAGATGTTGCAGATACCTCCTCCCATGCAACAAGTTCAGCAAGTCCAGCAAGTCCAACAGACTCAGCAAGTCCAACAGGCTCAGCAAATCCAGCAGGCTCAGCAAATCCAGCAGGCTCAGCAAATCCAACAGGTTCAAGATCAATATCAGCCAGCGCCAACGCAACAGGAAGAACATTGGTATAACACGATGCCTTACCAACAACCAGTTGAGGTTCCTACTGTCGGTCAAGTACCATCTTTCGGGTCTACGCCAGATTACCCGTGGCTCGTCAAGCCGGATTTTGACGAGGACACGTCGACGCAGATGCCCAGTTCAAGAATCAATGATTTATGATTCGTCAAGCTCGGCATATGTAATCCGCATATTTCCGTTCTCTTTTCGAACGTCCCTCGAGTACTTACTCGGTAGGCGTTTTTTATTCTAATTAACAACCTTAATAATTCGATAACGAGCCTCCGACCTGCTCTTGTATTATATTGTCTCGTTTGTTGTTTCCATGTCCAATTAGGATATACCACCAGGGGGGGTATGCAGGTCCAGATTACGTATCGACCGAGATTCGATGGCTATGAGGGGGTAGCCCTTTGTGATGACGGCAGAAGCAATGCTCTTGCATTTGTCGTTCCACTGAGTTGATGGGTTGTTTATTTCGTCATAAAGGCGGCTACTTCGCATGGGTGCCCAATGTACGGCTTTGCTCCGACCGACTGTCGCCAGCCTTTGACAACCGATACCGGTTCTAGACAACATCACGATATACCAGTGGACAACTTCGAACCGATTCGTCATACATCTCTTTCATGCGCCATGGTTGAATTCAAGATGCCATGCCACGTCACGACACCGTTCCCTTATTATTCCCTAAAAGTCGTATAGGCCATTTGATTATTCCTTTTCGTCCAGTATGTATGACGAACGGCCATGTCATTTCTAAGTCTTTTGTATTTCAATAATTCCGTTAGCGATAATTAGGAGGATGGATAACTCTAAAGCTCGGATGGGTTCCGGAAACTATGCCGATTACACTAATAGTTGATTTTGCACCCGGTTCCAAATCAATTTTTTGACGATGTCCCGACTATCCTTTGACGATTCAAAACATAATGCCGTTCACGGTTATCCGACCTTCCTCTCCAGTTGGCTGAGACGGAGGGGCATGCCCAAGCTCGAGAGGAGATAAAAGAAAGGAGCGGTAAATGGGGTTGGAAGACTGTACATCGAAGATCGGATATTATTTGGATTTTAACTGTAATAATAGGATCGGGATGGTCTTTTTGTTTTTGTTCTTGCTTTTTGCTTTTTCTTGTTTTATTTGATTGGGACGCGAGGGTTTCCGGGTTTTGCGCTATTATCTAGTATGAGGCGTGTCTTGTATTATTGTTGCAAAGTGTTATCCGCGATTGATAACTGGGGCGTTGGAGGTCAAAAAACAATGCATGTATGATAGCGTGCGTAGTATTGTTAGAATTGTATCGAATAGTATTGTTACTTACTATTGGTTTCGTCTTGGTGATATATGTTTGAGTGATTATATGTTTGAGGTAGTGATGAGTTCAGATCTTGGCTGGGAATTATAGAGACTGTAATATTGGTAGTAGGTAGATTTGGCAGAGTTGTAAAATCCTTAGAAACGATCAGAAACGATTAGAGACGGAGGGTATTTATGAGAGGTTTATGAGAGGTCAAACGAAGAGGCAAGGCTTAGTAGCGCCATCTTTTTTTTTCTAGACAGAAGACACACCAAGCCTTTTTAAACTCCCTTTTAAACTTCATATGCATGTAAAAGCCAGCCTAAATAAGGTAAAATATACCTAGTCACATTTGCAAAAATGCCAAAAATGCCACCGAGCTGAAATGCAATCCCACATCCTTCAGAGTAACACTCAAATGGACCTTATATCTAATGCCACTGACTTCATTTTAGGTATGTGGTATATGTGGTATGTGGCGTTAGCCCCTCCACGTGCGAAACTAGAGATCCGCCAGGAAAACAAATTACATCTCGTCGCATTCACTACGTTGCATTGCATGTCGTACCTACATCCTTACATCCTACATCCTACATCCTACATACAGATCCCTATTTTGCGCAACCTTCTTTTAACCAGTTCGTTCTAACAAGACGATTTCAGTGATTAAAGTCTAATACATACGTGAAAGTTATACGATAAGTGCTTAAAAGGGGGTGGGGAGGAGGGGAGGAGGGGGGCTTAGGTGTAAGTCGTGGACAATAAGGAGATATGTATGTGTCATACAACATCTAACCTAATTAATTTTCACTGCTATAATCAAAATGCAGTCCTTCCCGTTTTAATAGTCTTCAACACACCCTCATCTGCAAGCTTCTCCCACATGTTCCACAGCATAAAATCGCAACCTCTTTTTGCAATGACACTCACCGTGACCGGGATCATCTCCTCGATGAAACTCACATTACTCAAGTAGGGTACTTGTCCTATCGGAATTGTCATGTCGACACATCCATATATGGGGCATAGGCTAGCCCCATTGATACCTGCAGTCGGCGGTGTCACGGCTAGGAAGGTTGTCGTGTTGGGATTACTGTTCAGAGATTCCTCCCGATAGCTCGGCAACCCGCCTGTGCCAATGTCCCACAGCATGATGCTTTCGCTGCACGATTCCGGGGTTGAGTACAGTATCTTGGACTCAAACCAGTCTACAGCTGCTCGCTTAACACTTAGTGACTTGTTATACAGTTCATCGGTGTACAACGATTCGTCATACGCCTTCCATCTGGGTCGATGGGCCGGATCGATCGGTGGAAAGCGACCCTCATATCGTTCCCCCCATGCTGCAATCAGTGGTTTACCCACCTTTTGGTACTGCGTCACAGAATTAATAACGGCCGTGGCGTTATTTAGAGCGTCATATTTAGGAACTTCGTCAGTTGTGTTACTAACAACCGCAGTCAAATTAAAATCTTCGACCGTCATTCCAAAGACTATTGTCAGGTTTCGGATGAACCCCTGAAGTACCTCCTCCGCGGCCGGATTCTTCAGGGGTAAGTACTCCGTGAGATACAAGATGCGCTTTGGGAAGCTATATGAGTCGGATGCTTTGAGGGGACTCAAACCTGTGATAGAAGGGTCCTGGCACATCTCAGGGATGTACCAGTTCTTAGCGAAGCGCACCCAGTTGCGCACGTTTCGGGAGAATACTCCTGCTGTGTCTGTCGCCGCACCGAGCGGCATTACTCCAGAAAGCGTCATTAGTCCTTGGCTCGGTCGATTCCCGTAAGTCCCAGACACCGCAGCAGGTCGTCTCATTGAAGACCCGGTATCCGAGCCGATCGCGAAGTCAAGCCAGTCGTATGCAGCTACAGAGCAGCCGCCGCCAGAAGACGAGGCAGAGCATGTAAGCCAGCCGTCGCCGCGTGGGTTGAATGGGTAATGCTCGTCCTGCCAATCCCAAGGATTTGCACCCGACGCGAATTGTGCTAACTTATACTTGCCAATGAGAATACCACCTAAATCAACAATCCGTTGGATGGATGGTGCGGTCTCGTTCGCAACCTCGACGATCTCTGCCCATGCCTGGCTGCCACCAGATGTGATTAAGCCCTTTATGTCGAATAGATCTTTGATTGCGACTCGATACCCTGCGAGCGGCCTCGCGTCGTCCCAGCTGTAAATACGAGAGGGTACTGGGATCATAGGGTCCCAAAATCGGGGCTGGAATATTTCTACAGGACTGAACGTGCCCTCCCCATCATTGGAATCATATGCGCCATAGAGAAAGTTGCGGTATGAGTCGCGGTAGAGTCGGTACACTGTCCCGAACGCTATCGAGTCATCCGAAACCAGCGCGGCGTATGGCCCAGCAGTAAGGTTACTAGAATTTGAGTCCCCGAGGTAAGTTACTGCAATGTCCGTGGCATCTTAAGGATGGTCAGCTCGAGAGTTTCTCGGGGGCGTTATGCGGGCCGTCAAGGTGGGAAGATCCGAGAACTTACAACAGCTACTTTCAAAACTAGCGTCTAAGAGTAAATGCTGTGGTGCAAGATCGTTTAGGTATTCAAGCGCACTCGTATCAAGGCTCTGGCTATGGCTCGTGCCGTTATTCACAATGTATACACCCTCCAAGAAGTCCTCAGAGAACACGTCGTCACCCTCTAAGTAGCTCGCAATGATATCCTGCAAATACTCGGCTGTCACAACTTCGCTGTCTGCAAATACGACGGCGAATGGAACCAAGGAACCTTGCCGGGTTGCCGTAGTCCAGTCGTTCCCACCGAGGATCGCCTTGGGATATCGAATATTTGCTAAGTAAGTCTTGTCGCCAAGCCCGAACGCGACGTCGCCGTATTGTGTGGTTTGTAGGTATTCGAGAGGGGCACGTTTCACAGGTCTCGCCAATATTAAACATGCGTATAAAAGTAACGATATATATCGATGATTTAAGCCGGAGAGGCCCATCTTTTAGCTCCGACTGGGTGTCGACTGGGTGTTTAGGTTGGAGATCCTTCGTCATTGAAGGTGTGAGTATGATCCCCCGCCCGGATCAGGGTCCATCTGTGGCGGCTGTCCACGGTTTATATCTTTCTATTTCTATACTTTATTGATTGGTATCTACAATTTCTAACAAGCCGACCGGATGATATCTTATCTTCGCGCAGCCTTATAGGTCTCTTCCCGTAGCTTGGCTACTCCTTTGAATGCTGCCCAGCTCGTGGCTGGCTTATCATCAAGACCCCAGCAACCTCAAGCCGACGTTGTATTGCAGCCAACTAAAGCTATCTTCACCGGTCTGGCGCAAAATGAGGCGTGGTATGCAGATTTCCGGTGGAGGATCGGCAAGTTCCCAATCTTCCCGTTGGTTACGGCCCTGGCGGATGTGACTTGGTACGTGGGGTTCGCGGCAACGGGAAAGCAAGGCTCTTATCAAACGACAAGACCCTTCGCTAGGTCAATTATTTAATCTGCCAGCTCTACATACGATATACTTCTACCGTTTAAGAAATGAAGATATGGAAAGTGAAAAGGGGGGCGGCTTTGCAAAGTTTGAATCTTTAGTAATTAATGAGTGAGAGCCATCTTATAGAATTTATAGGTATAGGTAATCACATTGAGTCGTAAGAATAGTATTCTTAACTGTTTATATTATCTTATAGAAGGTCTTGTAACTGCGAAGGGGCTTATCGTGGCTTTACATTGCTCTATCTAATCAGGTACCTAATGGTAAAACGTCAAAGGCGTGGAGGTTCTCGTCAAAACGCATGGCGGAAGCTAGTAGAAAAGTTTACTAGGTTACTACATTAGGTACATATACTTAATTAAGCAAGTTTACGCATGTGGCATGTGCCATGTGGCATGTGGGAGTTCTCCGAGCTTGAGGAGCGAGCCGTCCCACTCGTTGGCCTCTTTATACCAACCAATTAGCCTATGTAGAATCTCCCTATGAACATCACATTCCCATATATTGTATTTGACTCAAAACATGCTTTAGAAATAATGCGTCAAATAAGGATTTTAGAATTATGTACCTAATGTATTTCTTCTGAAGACCTCGGTTGGAGATACTGTGTCATCGGGGTCTATTCTATTCTATTCTACGAATAATATAAAAGTGGCCATTGCCCAATAAGGCAACAATAAGACGATGTGCCACTAATACACTAGGTTAGGTCAATACTTAACCTAACTTCTTTTATTATCCAACTAGTATAAACTTGATTTGAATAGTTATATTTTTAAGCGAAGGATTGATTTTGGGTCAGCTGTTTTTATATGATTGGTATTTTAGTTAGTTGGGAGTCGTCTCCGGCATTTATTAGTCCACCGGCTGCTTCCGACCGGTCTAGAGCATCTCAAAGGCCTCAAAGAGGATCCGGGAATTAGGAACGGACACTATATGCACGAAATTCTCCAAGAGGGACCCGCGTGGCAAAATCAAAATCCCATCTATCTCAACATGGGAATCTTCAAAATGCCGCTCCCCCTTAGAAGCGTGTACTCCCTTTCCATTTACACGGCCGGCTTTCCGCAACCCTTCTATTGAGCTGTTATAGTTTTCGATCCCTTTTCCTAACCACCACCACTACCACCACCACCAGACCATGGCAGCGGCACCATCGCTGAACTCGTTACCATACGAGGTACGCCAGACGATTTATTCTCTTGTGGCGCGGCAAACTAACTCTAACGACTGGCGAAAAGGGCCAGCCTCGACTATTGCGCATTATGCAACGGTATCCAGGGAATGGCAAGAAGAATTCGTCGAGCCTATAACCTTCAAGGTCATACGTGTGACTCCGAGACGTCTGAAGTCATTTTGTCAGATCGTAACTTCACCGCGGCGCAGGGCAATTGTCCAGACGATCTGCTTCCATGTTTCCCTCGACAAATACGACCCTCACCTTGATAACGAGCCGGAAACATCAGCAGAGCGACGGCGGAGTACTGAGGTCTTGACTACAGCCCTTGGAACTTTCTTTCGGGCGATGACCCTGTGGCGAAAGAGTGATACTTCTCCTCTCGGTCTGGACCTTCATCTTCTTGTCAATTCACCTAGTGATACGTCGTCCTTGGTTAGTCGAAATGGGGGGGCCCTCGTGACGGGGCGAGCTCTAACATCGTGCCTTAAACTTGACCTTGAGGCCGTATCATTACCACACATTGACGTCTTTGGCGGTTTTCGATGTACTGGAAGACACCTGCAACCGACATCTATACTAGCTATTGTATCTAGACTTCAAACGTTGGAATATCTTGATGTCGAACTCAACCATGACTCAACACGCAACCGAGATGTCAAACAGAGAAACAGTAAGCAGTATCATTTATTGTTTTTTTTTTAATTATTCATATACCTGCGGTCACTTACAATGAATGACTCGATGTCATTATCAATACCCTTGCTAACTCCACGGGCACACAATTAGGCTTTGCTTCGGGCCTCCAGTATTCCGAAACAATTCGAGTTCTCTGTCTACGCCGCCCTAGCCCAATGCTAACGCCAGTTCAAGCACCCCCAAAACAGCCGTGGTCAACCTTTTATGCCCATATGCGGACATTTAGTCAACAATGCGAATCTTTCGAATTCGACGATTGTATCGATGCTGTCCAATTCTTTACACCATTCCTCATTGGGCCGGGCATAGCAGAGCCGCCTAAGGGCCAAGAGGTACCATTCTTTTCGCGGTTGAAGAGGCTTAATATCCGCAACTCATACATGATGAAGGCACCATATTTGCGTGTGACGAATAGGGTTGAAGCCTTGGCGTCCGTTCGTAACCTTCTCGTGGCGATCGGGCGGGCGACTCGCCGTATGCCGGTACTGCTGTTCGCTCGTGTCTGCCAATACGTCCTTACTGATGGACAGTTGGAATGGTTCGTCCTTACGTATGAAAACCATGCTAATAAAGCTATAATACGCACCAGAGGCTTTAAACTAGGGAAACTTATGGTTAATGCTTGGAAGGATTCTGCTGCTGAAAAGGGCATTAAGCTTATAATTTATCACGACAAGGACGATCTTAATGCGCCCGAACTTTGAATTATTTAGCTTGTCAAAGGCAGTTCAAAATTTATTTTTTAAAATTCTAAGGTAGCGAGGAGTTGGTTGTGAGGGAGGCACATTATATATCAAATTCCACGTATCGGTAAAATCTTACCGTTGAATATAAACACGACGAAAACGAATCACGATAAAAGTTATTTTCCATCAGGTAAAACCTAACTTCATGTTAGCCATACAATTGTATACCTGTAAAGAAAATCAGAAAGTTTCATATGCTCTCGTGATGATATTTTATACCAAAAGAAATATTGCTTGTTAGAAATATATAAGATATACCAGGCTTAACTCCGAAGTTCAAGGGGTATAGACGAACCCTATAGAATTTTGCTAGGGAGAATGAGTAGAACCTCCTCGTGTTAATCCTCTTCGCCATGATAACTATATGCCTGCCCAGATAGCAACCCTTGGTGTTATTTATATTCTCAAGTTACCTCGTGCGTCTCTTTCAAACTAATAACTCTTTCTTCTTACGCTGCCGCCGGGTGGCCTCCTACCTCGTTCACCCTTATCTCATCTCCTTTCCTTCTATTTTCATAATTCTTCGTATTTTCTCAAGCGTATTATTTACGATATCAAGACTCAACATGTTCAATCAAAGTTCGGCTACTTCTTTTGCTTCTGTTTCAAATATAGCGATATTAACCTTCATAAATAGATGAGGTATAAGACAACGTTGACGGAAGCTGGCTCAACTAGCTGCTATGATTGGGATTATTGTATAGATAGATTACAGAAAAAAAAAGGGAAAGAAAGAAACTCATGACCTTTTACTCTTATGGTGAAACAAGCCCCATCTAGTTCGGAAATACCATATTAATCCCTAATCCCGAGCTCTCATACCGCTACTCCACAAATCAGTTAATTGGGGCTTATAGGATATCACGTAGTTTCTTTGCTTATGAATACGTTAGTTATACAAAAAAAGTTGGCTGGGATTTTGAATACTCAGCTTACAAATAAACGGTGTTTATCACTCAGGTTATGACTCAGAGACATAATTATCGTCGTAAGGTAGTAGTCGACGAGTGAGAACATTTGTTTCATTATCTCATATGCGACAGTACGAATGGAGATAGTTGATTAGAGCTTTTAAATGGAGATTGGAGTAAGATATACGGCACTAGCCGATTGTAAACGCCGAAAAATCAATTAACGACCGGCTGACGTATGTACCTTTTAGCTGTTTTTGCCGAAATACCACGCCGATAAACCCGGGCCCCGACTAAGGTACAAAATAGATTATTTCGGCCTTAGTTAAGGCCTATTACGGGACCTCTCACATGAATACGGGAATTAAAAAAAAATCGGGTATTCTTGAATCTATACCCCTTTGTTCGTGACTCATGCCGAAATATGTCTTTGTCTTTCTACGGTACCTAGGTAATTAGAAAGTAAGTAAGTGAACAGGTAGACTCCTGAATATCGGATTAATGACTTCACCTAAATATTGGGCCAATAATTAATGCTATTCCCGAAAAAAAAAAAAAAAAAAAAAAACCCTTGGTGGAGTGAACTAAGCTTAACTTGGTGACGTTGTTATCCATTATGGAACCCCGCGATGTTGCCATACATCCAGTTAATCACCCTCGGATGAATAGAAGTTGGAGGGGGTATCGAGATAACCACTTAAGCATATATATAGGTAGGTTCTTGGTTCAACCTCATAGATAGAGAATTTTAAGCACATTCAATAAGCAGTCTTCTCTCACTAACATATTATATCTACTCACTTATACATCTTATTTAATAGTTTTACTACAAGTCATAAGAAATAACCCTTCAAAATGCCCAAGGTACTACTGACTGGCGGTTCTGGGTTTATTGCTGGTGAGTTAAACTCGTGTAAATTATCCTACACAACCCAACAACCCATCCCTAACATAGACAATTTCTCATAGCCCACGTCCTCGAGCTTCTGCTCAAAGGGGGTTATGAGGTGGTGACGACGGTCCGCTCCGAGACCAAGGCCTCTCAAATTCGCGCCAAATATCCCGGCGCGAAACTCTCGGTAGCCATTGTACCGAACATCGCAGTACCCAACGCCTTTGACGAGTTGATAGCCAACACTCCTGGAATCGACTACGTACAACACACGGCATCGCCCTTCCATTTCAAGTTTACGGACGCTCGTACTGAATTATTAGACCCGGCAATCAATGGCACAAAGGGTATCTTCCAGGCCATTGCCAAGTATGCACCCAGTGTCAAGCGTGTTATCGTCACCAGCTCCTTCGCTGCTATCATGTCCGAGAACAAGATGAATGACACTACAAAAGTCTTTAGCGAATCAGACTGGAACCCAAGCACGTAAGTTGGCCCGGTAGAATTATTATTCTTAAGTAGACCTCCGAGGGCTAATTGGTTATAGGTATGAGGACGGACTTAAGGGACCTCCCCCCACATCCTACCGTGTATCGAAGAAGTATGCCGAAAAGGCAGCATGGGATTTCGTCGAGCAGGAAAAGCCCGGATTTGACGTCGCTACCATCTGCCCGCCTATGGTTTTCGGTCCTGTCGCTCACCACCTGGACTCGCTAAAAGACATCAACACGAGCGATCAGCGGTTCGTGGACCTGATCCAGGGCAAGTGGAAGGAGGAGATCCCAACGTCTGGCGTCTGGTTGTGGGTAGATGTTAGGGATGTCGCGCTCGCTCATATTAAGGCTATGGAGGTCCCCGAAGCGGGTGGCCAACGCTTTTTTACCACTGCGGGCTTCTACGATAATGTGCAGCTGGCGCGTGCAGTTCGCAATGGGTTCCCTGAACTAGCTGACAAGTTGCCTGACGACAACGTCAAGCTCGCCCCGGGTGCTGCAAAACCGGCCGCCACCTTTGGTTACGACAACTCACGCGCCAGCAAGGTCCTAGGCATCGATTGGATCCCTGTTGAGAAGACTGCTGTCGATACTGTCAAGAGCCTGCTGGAGATCCCTGCTTGAGCAAATGCGGCTGGTCAAAATAGATGAAAGGGAAAAGGGGCACCAAAGTCTTCGGGATCCGACCCCATGATGTTAAGGACTCGATATCTTCTAATGCACTAGAAAGTTATAGACTATATCTAGGTATTATATTGCATACGAGAATAGCTAATTAATTGGCCATTGTTGCATATTAGAGGAAAACCGAATATGATTGATGATTATTCGGCGCCTGCTTGAGCCAACATCTGCTCTAACACCTTAGTAGCCTCATAAGTATCCACGAACTCCATGACCTGCGAGACACGAGTCCCATCTTCCGAGAAATTCAGATCCCAAATCACTTCGACCTTGCTGGTAGATCCGTTGGCCGTAAGAATGGTTTGCTCACTCCACAAAGTAGCCCTGCGCTCAGTTGTGTCGATTACGGTCCTGGTAATTTTCTGAGATACCTCTTTCATGGTTTGGAGCTCGACTTTCATCTGGGCCTCATAGTCGGCATTGGTGATCTGGGCCTTGAAGAACTGCGGATACCTCTGGATGAAGGAGAGGGGCCGATACATCCGAATGCAGTCTTCTGTCAGAATTGCAGAGAGCAAGGATGTGTCCATTCTTTTCACCGCGAGAGTGTTATTTTCTACAAAAGCATTTGCTGTCTTCTGTAGAACTTCTCTGAAATTTGCCATGGCGAGTATGCTGCCAGTATTTGTAATATCGCTTACGAACTGACGTTGGACTTGATTAAAAAAGTGACCTCCCTGTCGGAAAGGCTTGGTATTCAAGATCAATAATAAAGATGAAGCACAAAGGAAAACTGGTCAGATCACACAGACGGAAACAAAATATTATTAATAGTTACAAAGACACATATCTTGTAAGCAGATGGGCCTAGCCGAGATGCCTGACAACGAAGTCCTTAAGCTGTGCCGTGTCCTTGCGCATCGTATTAGAGCTAAAGCAGTGATAGGAACCGTCCGGGGCAACTTTCGGGCTATGCATACTTCTGTATAGGTACTTGGCATGAAAAATGCTGGAATGTGATAGGATCCCTAAACGACCCTTGCTATTTCACCCGAGAGTACATCTATATCACAATGAGTGATGAACTAATTAATATGTACGTGGATGCTGTCATTCAAACCAGCTAAAGAAGAACAGGGAGGGGTATCAGTACCTCACAACACTAGCCTCAAAATAAAAATAATTGATGAACTTCATGGGCACTTATCTACTATAGTGATTATCTCTCATCAATCTGCAAAGCTAATCCACAAACTCACCGCATATGGATGAGATAGAACCGTTGTAGGCACCCTACAGTCCAATAAAAATGCATAACCATCTGTCTATAGCTTCACTCGACACTATCCGCCCATACTATATTCTTAGGTGATAATTTAATCATCCATTGTTTGGTGGTACAAAAGCTGTAAGGCTTGCCTGGAACCCTATTTAACCTGCTGTTGTATCCATAGCATCATCCCCTTCTAATACTCTAGCCCTAGCAGCTGCTATCCGTTCAGCTTTCCATTCTTCAATCCGGGCACGCAAGTCATTAGCTGGAGTCACATCGTCGATAGTCATCGGCTTTCGAGTGAAGGGATCTAGCGGGTTAGAGAGCAATTGCTGCACAATCGTTGACCGATCAACGATATTCTGTGACGGTAGAATGACTGGATCAGTCATCAAATCACCCATCAGGGGATCCTCAAATTCGTCAGGTACTTCGCCCAGATCGAGTTCGGCTTGGTCTAGACGTTGCTTAGCTTCGGCAAATTTGTTTACCAGGGATTTCCAAGTGGAGATGACTTCGGGTGCTGTATGAAGACTACGTTCCATCACCCTAGTTGCTTCATTGAAGTTGCCTGGCTTGTATGAGCGGCCGTCGGCTGCAACTGCTTCGATGAAGGTAGATTTCGGTGATAGGTTGATGTATATGTCTATGAAGTCAGACAAAAGGGTCTTCGGGTCGAAATGATATTTCCTGGCATCCTGTACTTTGAGGTTGCCCCGTTTCGGACCAACTAGGGACTCTAGATTGTAGTTTAACATGCCTGCCAATCGAGTTACTATTTCGGGCATGGTAAATGCGTCCCGTAATGCCGCTGTGAACAGTTTCATCATCCCCATAGTATCGTTCACCAACTGCATCCAGGACTGACACTGCTGCTCAGCGGTTTCCAGGTCCCCTCTGACTTTCTCCTTGTCTTCAGGAGATAATGTGTCCTCCTGTAATTGCTTCTGATAGTCGTGTATCGCAACGAGTTTGGTTAGTGCTTCATCTAATAAGTACGTCGCGTCGTTTAGAAGCAGGTTCACAAATTGCACAAAGAATTGACGGTTAACCCTAGACATAGTTAGTTGAAGCCACTGATCAGTTGATATTGCTAGGACTGACCTGCTTTCCCGGCTGAGCTGATCTTTGTAAACACTGTTTGGCCAGATGCACTTGATGACCTGGAATATCTCATAGCGGATATTGAATTTATCGTAGAATGCGGAGCTGACACCACTATGCTCACATTCTAGTACTATTAGCATACGGTAGCCAGAACGATACCAGGTAACTCACCGATGTAAAACTTCATGAGTGAATGTAGGAGGTGCTCATTAGCAAACTTTGATCCGACCAAAGTATCGCCTAGAACCCCCCTACTAAGATGATATAACGGCCATGTCCCCGAGAACAATAAAGTGACGAGAGATGACTTCAGGTAGGGATTCTTGATATATTCCGAGGACCTCAAGAATGTAATGCATAGTGTGATTATCTCGTCCCCAACGGCGGATACTAAAATGTCGGGCAAGAAACTAATATGGAAGTAAGCCTTAAGGTAGTTTGGACAGTCTATTGGGTATACGTACCGGAAAATAAACTTGAAATTCTCAACGACATCCTGGAGGGCGTATTCCGGGAGACAGCTGAAGGCATCAGGTATGTCAACGGGGAGAGGAAGTTTAAAATCTTTGCCTGGTATGTAGTCTGTCCCGCTAGCAATTCGTAGAAGCCACACAGATACATATCTCATGAATTGTAAGGATAGTGTCTGCATAGACGAGTCTAATACGATTCCTTCGATAGAATACTTCAGCGCTATGTGTCTTTCAACTGCATTGACAGCATTCTGATGGTGTTGTTTTGCTACAGCAAGACGCAATGGGTCCTAATATTGTTAGCAACAGCAAAAAAGATCTACACAAGGGAGGGGATGGCTCACGCTCTGTAGCTTGGGTATCTCTCCTTCGATCTGTTTTATGACGCCCTCAACATACTTGATATCTCTGTCAAGATCCTTGAGCTTCGAGTTTGTTGCCCCAAGACCATAATGATGGGCAGCTAGGGTTAAAAAGAAAACCTCTGAGATGAAATTAGAAGGACCTGGGACGTGTGTCTTGTAGAACGCTTCTGAAGTCGCCTGATCGGCGTTGAGCTTCGTCTCGTCGCCCATGTCGACTCGAGGGCTACGTCGTAAATAGTCAACATCGATCTTATCCACCTTGGAGAACGTGGTATCCATGAAAGGCTGACATAGATGGTCTAAGATAGCTGTCACGTTAACCATAAAACCATCTGAGGCTACGTCTGTCGGCTTGACTTGAAGAGCACGCCTCTTATGATTTGTGTTGACCACGAATGCAAACCAGTCGAGAATACCATTTCGGGCACTTGGGCTTGCACGAACAAAAGCATTTGTAATGCTTGCGAGGTCACCCTGATGAGCCTTTAGTGTCATCTGAAGGGCACTCTGAGATGACTTCACGTGGCCCGCATCGATTGTTCGCGGACTAACAAAGTAGGTCTTAGTAACCTCGGTCTGCAGTGGCGATATGCGAAAAAATGGCCCTAAGATAGTTTCGGTTTCGCTTGCCAAAGCTATTTGTTCCTTGGACATATCCGGGGTGGGCTTTACTCGAAAGCTCGGGTGCTCTGCAAGTGCATTGAGTAAAGGTGGGAATCTTGCATATGTAACCAAACACTGTCGTTATCAGCATACGTGAAAATTCCGAAGAAAATTAAGGGCTTACATTGATGTATGGTCTATAATCATCATTCATAGTCATCGTGGCAAGCCTCTTACTCATGGTAGCCATGGCATCTATGAAGATAGCAGCAACAGTGTCATCTTCCGGTATACGAGAAATAGCCTCAGCAAAGAAATCCAAACAGATACCGTCCTCATTATCGTGGTGCCGAAGAAGGTATGGCACTAGAGAATCGTGGTTCGGATTAGGGTCACGGCTGCTGGTAGTCAGTACAAGAGACGCACGCATACGGTTTGGGAAATAACCTACCCGAAGTATTCAGGCATAGTAAGGGCAAATATGCAATTGCTCATGCACAGCCGCTTAGCTTCGTTCAAGACAGCTTCTCTGTCGGGTGGCGAGGGTCTAGCAGGCTTAGTAGCCTTCACAACGCGCTTCCAGCATGGCAGTAGGTAGTCTAGAAGTGCCTTACTCGTGGATACATATCTGGCTGCTTCGAGGATTGCCGAGTCAATTGTCGAGGCAGTTAGTTTTATCGGCTCACCGGATTGCTCCAGCTCAGCTTTGAGTTCTGGCAAGTAGGTCAGCTTAGTACCCCTGCTGTCGGTCGTGTGAGTCTCATCAAGGGTGATGCGGAATATGTCGCCCAGCACCCGATTCGACCAGTTTTCTAACGTCTCTTCTTTTGCAATATGTATTTTCTTGGATGGCATAGCTGTCGTATTTTTGTCAATATCTGCATATCGCCTCTTGGAGTCACGTTCGTTACCTGAATCCTCTGCGATATTGTTTCTAGGCTCTGCCTTGTTATTCCCACCGAGCTGGGAAAATGGGTTTGTTGCCGGAGATTTGTTTGTAGATGGCGAAGAGGCGGAGCTGGTTTGTGGATTCGGTAGAGGAGTTGGTCGGGTGTTCTCTTGGTTTGTCGCATTTGGCTTTGGCAGAGTAGCCGGAATCGACGAGGCCGGCGACGCTGACGAGGTTGGAGGCTCAGGTTTAGTAGCATCTTCTGGTTTCGGACTGGACGGCGTCGCATTTAGACCACCAAGCTTAGCAAGTCGCCTTTTGCGCATCTAATAGTAATAAGCAATAATAAGTTAGCCTCCAAAATATTCGAGTATTGATGACTGTCGCATACCTGCTCCTGCGGCGGCAGAGTCGGTTGTGATTGTTCATTCGGATCCATATTAATGAATGACTATGAACAGTAGATGGGTTCTAAGACGGCAAGAAGAGGCGAGAAAACTATGCTGTCTCGGCCAAGTAAATACAAGAAAAGAAACGCCGTCAATAGAGAATGTTGATGTGTTGTCGAAGTGTTGTCGAAAGTAAAGGTTGCATCAATGTTGAGGTGAACGTTATCGGTGATAAGTTACGTACAGTACGCTACCTAATGTCTTAGCCTACCAGCTGCTTACGCTAAAAGTTCAACTTACAGAGGTGCATATATGGATTATGATGGAATGAGGCAGTAGCCCCAGCTGCCCCTCTTAATAATCATCCAATGATATTAGTCAGATAAAGGTCAAGTTAGAAAGGTTAAAGGTTATCGATAACGCCATAACGCTATCTTTATGCCAACTCATTGCTCATTGTCAATGTTTAGGTAATAAGGTACATACAAGTGCATTGAAGACAATTGGCGGGGTTAATGGGATTCTTTTGTCCCCATATTATTTGTCCCCCACCATAGAGATTATGT